AGAATAATATAAAAAATGAGGCACAAAGAAGGAAGAAATAGTGACATCATATAGGAAGTTTCTGAGATAAAAAATTTACATATTTAGAAATAATTTTAATAAGAAATGATATGGAGGAATTATATAAAAAAATATTGACATAAAAGAAGATCTAAATAAATGGGTGGGAGTCCTAAATGTTTCTGGTGGAGAGCCTAAAGTACTCTAAAAGTAGAAATTCTTCCTAAATAATTCATAGGATTCCCAATGGGATTTTTTGAGGAACATTATAAAATGATGTCTAAAGTTAATCTGAGAGACTGTATATGCAAAAATTCTTAAGAAAAATTAGAAAAATGGGAGTGGGTGGGCAAGAACTCACTGAACTAGATGCTAAAACATTTAGAAAGCCACAATAATGGAAACAATACAGGGTAATTGTATACTAGGTAATTTGGACTCAATACAACAAAAAAATATAGGACAACAATAACAAAAACAACAAAAATGACCAAAAAAATTTTAAAAGTATCACAGAGCTAAGAAGATGATGAAAAGTAAACAGACAAAGATCCAGAAGAACATGGAAATCCAGAGACGGCAGCCTAACTTTCTGGGCTGTTTTTGACTGAGGGCATTTGACAGTCTGAAAGAGGTAGGTGAAAGGCTAAGCTGTGCTTCTGATGGTCTTGTGATGCTAAGAGAGCAAAAGTCCTGTGAAGGATGAGAGTGCTTTCTTTGCTTTAGACTGGGACCTCAAAGGTCTGCACAATAAGACAAAAGTAGGCTGGATATAAACCAGCTCTCCCAAGGATAGCAATCCTGTTCTGAGTCAACTGTGCAATCCAGAAAATCTCAAACCTTAAAACCAGTTTAAGGGGGTCCTGAATTTCTAGTGCCAGGCAGAAGTGAATCCAAATTGTCTCTGTAGAAAAATAACATTATCCTTAGTCTATTTCTAAAAACTTTTCAAATATGATACCCAATACATAATCAAAGATAACCAGGCACATAAGNGTACTGTTTGGGAAGTACCCCAAAAAAGCCATTGTGCCCAGTGCCCGATTGCTTGTTTCTTATTAAAAGGGAGATATAATAAATATTAGACCCAGATAGGAAAAAAGAAAGTCTAGTTCAGCTCTTGTTATCCAAGTGAGAAACTGCAGGCCCAGAGAGCATAGGTGACTTTCCACATCACCCAGCTAAGCTGTGTCAAAATGGGGTTGTCAGGGTCTCTGCTATTGACAAAGGCAGTTATAAACTATACTCTAGATTCATAAAATGGAAATGAATATTTGTCATTCTATGAGAACTTGCACGCATGTGAGCTCCTAAAAATCAGTATCTCCTAGGTACTAGGGCCTAAATTGCCCAATAGTGTCATGTTGGGTATCCTACCAAGATAATAGGAAAACCAAGGTGGGCGTCTGACCTACTTGGAGAAAAGTGATGTTTTCTAGCCCACTGGAAGCCATATAGCTGATTTAATAATAAAAAAAAACTAAAGCCATATATTTGATTTTTGGTATGAGATATCAGCAAACTTTTTCATGAACAAGACAGAATAATATAAAAAATGAGGCACAAAGAAGGAAGAAATAGTGACATCATATAGGAAGTTTCTGAGATAAAAAATTTACATATTTAGAAATAATTTTAATAAGAAATGATATGGAGGAATTATATAAAAAAATATTGACATAAAAGAAGATCTAAATAAATGGGTGGGAGTCCTAAATGTTTCTGGTGGAGAGCCTAAAGTACTCTAAAAGTAGAAATTCTTCCTAAA